TGTTGCTTCTGAGCTAGATGACTGCTTGTTTACCTTCAAGCCTTAAGATCCCAGATGCTATATCTTTTGATAGCCAAGCACCATCAGCTTTGATTTGAAGAGTTTTTAAGAGTCACGAGTCACGCTAAGACTGGTAGCTCTGGTCTTTTAATGATTTGGATTTTTTTCTATATTTTTCCTTGTTCTATCCAGGAGTCCTGATCAGAGTAATCAGTGGCAATGGCTGGGACCATCTAGTTTTTCTGGTGCCAGACTAGTGGAGGCTGTGATTATTGTCATCCATTAGTCTTTTGGACAAATCGTTTTTAGTTTTGTGTTGTTATTTTATTTTATTCACTCATCTTTACTCTGGTTAAGATGAGATCAATAGTTGCATCTTATATGGCCACTTGCTAGCTTTCAAAATCCTATTCACTACTCACCATAGTAGGATGTAGAATATTGTCTTTATGAATTGAGTTATACTAATTGACTTAGATGTCCCTCGAAACTGTCAAGCTTTCCCCTGAAGCTCTTGTGCCCAGCAACTCATTCTCCCAACTTGTTTTGTTATAGGTAAGAAGGTTGCCTAACTTTGCCCCTGTTCACTCTATCCACATGGATATGTATACAGCACATATTCTTAAGTAGAAAAACCCTCTGCTCAAACAACATACTGTCAAGAGTTTCTTAACTACATTCCTGTTTTGCAAAGCATTTCCCCTAATAAACTCTGTTTTTAATTTAAACGGGATTTTTTTACTATGACAAAACATAATACAAATAGTAACCTACTCCAAAGTTTTAAATAACTCATTAATAAGAGAAAAAGCAAAAATTCCGAGTCCCTGCAGTTGCTGTGTTATAGATTTAAGTCTATCCAGAGACACCTTCATAAAAGGGCCTAGTGATCCGTCTCTAAAAAATTAGCCCTTTGGTGTACAGGTCTACTCATATGGGCCCCCATATGTCAGAATCAACTGTGCAGCTGGTGATTTGGTAGCAGGAATGCAAAACTTGCTCAAAAGAGAATTTTAGTATCTATCTATATGTACATACACAAACAATGCTAAAAAATATTTCTAAATTAGATTTTAAAAAATTGATCATACTTTACAGGTCTATAAAACTAACCTCTGAGGCTATCTTCTTTGCTGGACAGAAATCTTTGCACCATGATAGGAAAGTAAGCATTTGCATTTTATCTGTTTTCTACCAGTTATCATCTCACTTTATCAAATTGCAAAGCAATTAGAATCTGTACACTTAAATTAATAGTAGAGGCTACCCTTTACATGTAAATTGAGAATTCTACCACCAATATCCCTAAAGCAACCTAAATGTTCAGTTTAGATGTTTGCTATTGTGGGATGCATTATTAAGCTATGACACATGGATAAAGTGGAATAATACTCATTTCTAGTATATACATAAAATCCAATCCCATTTTTCTTCAGATTTTTTTATAAAAATTCAGTATAAAAACTAATTAAACAATCCCTATGTATAAGTAATTACAATGGTTGAAAGCATGGGCTTTGGAATCATAAAGACCTACATTCAAATTCCAGTTCTGCTACTTAGGGCTCAGCATTGCGTTGTCTACTTAAGGTTTTTTTTTTCTTTCCCATCTCACCTGCCTTCTGATTTCTGATTTGAAGCAATCACTACCCTTTTCATCTCCTTTGATTGATTGTTTTGAGGAGTATCTTATAAGTATTATTGTTTACTTTATAGGTCTATTATTTGGCTTAAAGGTGAATTTAGGGTGTGGGTTCAGTTCCAGATATGAAGGACTATAGTCTAAGGGATTCCACTAGCCTTTATCAAAACAATAAGTCGTCTTTTTTATTATCTTAGATTTTGTTCTATATTTTTCTCCCACTCTGTCAAGGACCTTCTAATTTGATCCCCATCAGAGCACTTGGGAGGGGTAGCCAGTGACTTCTTCGGGTGTCAGGCTAGGGGAGGCTGTGGGTCAAGTAGTTCACCAGTCCTGTGAACTAATTACTTCTATTAGTTGTGTTTTTATTTTTCTTCACTCTTTGCTCCAGTAGCCGCTTGCTAACTTTTAAGACCTCACTTGTTACTTACCAAAATAGAATATAAAACATTGTCTTTATGAACTGTGTTATGCCTGTTGACCTTAATGTCCCCCAACACTATAGTCCTGGTCCTCCAAACGTAAGGACTCATTCTCTAACGATATTTGGTTATGGTTAAGAAGTTTTCACGACTTTGCCCCCTGTATACTCTACTATATTCAATGATATATTTTATTAGCAATATAAATAAAGAAACCCTGGTAGTGTAGCACGTTGGGCTGTGATCTGCATGGTCAGCAGTTCAAAACCACTGGCAGCTCCAAGGGAGAAAGACTGGGCTTTCCCCTCCTGTGAACAGTTACAGTCTTGGAAACCCACAGTGGAGTTGCTATGAATCAGCATTGACTTGATAGCAATGAGTTTTGTTTCACAGGTAAGTAAACTCAAAAACCAAAATCATTGTCATTGAGTTGATTCCAACTCATTGAGACCGTATAAGAAAATATATATGTAGAAATATCCTGTCAAACTTTTATATATTTCGTGTTATAGTCCCATTCTTCTTCCCACCCCATTCAGTTTGCATGTCTATGCATCTACTCCCAGATTATTGTTATCATAGGAATGTATAAGATAGTACTTACCTCTACTACCTTGTGCTCATCCCAGTGTCTTCCTTTGCCTTCATCATATTTTGCTGACCTCCTTGTTCTTATATAATGCTTTTCCCTTAACCCAAGTAATATGCGTCTGCCCTTTAGTTAGGATTTTCCTTCCTTCCCCACCCATCTCTGGTAACCATCAGATAATATTTCTGTGGCTAAGCCTTTTCCTGACAGTTTATAATATTACCTGAAGCAATTTTTGCCATTTTGTGATTTATTTCATGCAG